ATTGTGTGATGAACATAGTGTTTTTCCACTGTCTGGGTGTTTATCTGTGTATAATATTTATTTATTTACAAAAGTATGTTTACCACTTTTGAGAGAATGTTGTGTAAAAAGTGTCCAAAATATTTATTTATTTATTTTATGTAGGGTCCAAATTAATTGGCTTTCATAGTGAGGTTATGGTAGTTTTAGAGAGCTTTTATTACAATATGAATAACACCGTTATTGCGACCGGATGGAAATATTTTTTTGGAAGGTGATACTTTTCTTTTAATTGAAAGTAAAATGCTACTTAAAGCATTCCATGCACCTTGCATGGAATACTTTAAGTAGCATTTTAGTTAAAAATAATGTCGGGAATGGTTTTCACGTTTTAAGGGTGATAATTTTAGTGTGGACGTGGAAGACATGGAAGACATAAAATTTAAATCATTGCCGGATGAGTCAAAATATGCCCGCTTGCCAACTTTTCGCATAAAAAAACCATTCTCCTGCCCTCATCCCACCTAGGCGAGGTCGGGCGGGGGGTTTTGGGTTGGTTGGCTGAGTTTTTTATAACACCTAAATCCGTTACAATTATCTGTGGATCACTTTATCATTATCTCTTATCCTTTAAACGAGCAATTCTTGTATATATATAATATAATCGGACACGGTTCCAGCGATTTTTATGAAATTTAGTATGTGCGTAGATTCGGGGGCGAAAAATCGATCTAGCTAGGTTTAGGTAATCGGGCGGCCCCAAAACAGACGGCCGTGGTTCGTGTCACGATCATTTACACTCATTTTTTTTTTTTTTCGATTCCAGATCATTGCTTTCTTTATTTTTATTTTTTGTTGATCCAGATGATTTTGTTATTTTTTCCCTTTTTTTTAAAGTTCTTCATTTTGTGAAAAACACCACTTCATATTTTCTTATTATTAGGTCGGTAAGATCGAAAAATATTATGCATTTTCATTACTCAGTAATTTGTATCTAAATGTAATTTCCAAAATACACGATTTACAAAAAAAAAAAAAACACACCGAGCAAAGCTCGGTCCTCCAGGTACCATTTTAATAAACTCAAAAAATGTTGTGGTAGAATCGATTTCGTTGAAGTTTCTATCTATGAATTATGATATTTCGATGAAGAATCGACTGACACTGAAGTTTTGTTCTAGTATAATACATATTATGTATTTTTAAATAAGAATATATATGTACGTACTGTTGAGATTATTTTTCAGATTAATATTAAAATATATATAAGTCAGCAGTTTTCAACTAAGGTAAAACTTAAATGAGGTCTTTTTGTACATAATTTAACAGGAAATTTTCGTCGCTTCAGGATTCAAAACTGCATCTTTTGGGCAACGCACGCAAAGTAACTAAATTAAGAGGCCGATATCTTTTTTCTTTTATATTATTTTTAAAACATTACCCTCACTTTAGGATAACATCGTCCACAACATGTCCGTAACAACGTCCTTACAACACAGGATATATGTTGTAAGGACGTTTTACAAACATAAATTGCACGAGGACCAACACCCAGATGCGAAACAACTATCTGTCGGTCGCACAAATAGTTATCCTGTGTGAGAATCGAACCCACGACCCCAGATGCCGAAGCCAATACCTTGGTAACTGTGCCACGGAGTCATACATCGTGTTATATGGGGTTTATCCAGGTCGCTTAGCTAAATTACGAGGAATTAAAAGTAAGAACCCACGGCAGCTAGTCCGGACGTTGCGAAAACGGATTTAAAGATGTAAAGCGGATTTTAAGGTTGAATTCTGGTGCCTCGAATTGCTGAGGGCTACCCCCCGCACTATTTCCTGCGTATTTCAATGATGTGTTCTTTTTCTCAAGTTAAGGCTGTTTAAATTCATTTTTACGAAGATTTCATTGTAAAACGACTTATTTTTTTCTTTTTCGTTTGCCATTTAAAAAAACCCTTTGCAATGTATCCTCATATTTAATAGAGGTTTTTTATGGCCAGCAACTTACCTGAAGTCAACCTTTCATTGTAATAAACACCTAGAATCGGAATAACTATTTAACTAGATTGGATCTGAACTCACGAGCCTGCTTACAGCTAAGCTAATTCGATGAAGCCAACAGCTGAGCAACGTAGCCACCGAATCCTTTTTTTTAATGGGTAAAGTAACTCGATATCACGTTGACTTTATTCTGATCTCAAAATACTACTAAGCTGGTGCCCGGTGCACTTAGCTTCAGTTAGAAAAATCTTACGTTTATCAATTCGACCTATGGGGCAAAAGATAAAAATCACTGTCGGAGTGGTCATCTCGCCTTTTATAATAATTATTATAATATGTGCAAAGTTTCATATCAATTGGACAGACGGTTCCCGAGTTTTAGATGAACATCCATTACACATACATTCCCTTTTATTTTTATAATAGGCTGGGGAAAAAGTTTCTACGCATTTTATATGAAAATTCAAAACATTTTTTTAATAAAGTTTATTTACATTTAACTAAAGCATAGGTGTCATTTTCTTCGATAATTTTCTGCCATCTTGTAAGTAGGGACATGATCCCATTGCTATAGAAATTCTGGGGCTTCTGATCAAAAAACCGCGACAAGTGGTTTTGTCAGTCCTCTCGTGGTGTTAACCTGACACTGCCTAAAGAATTCTGAAGAGACCGAAACAAGTGGAAATCTGAAGGTATACATTAACATACAGGATACATTAACACCTCGCAGTCAATCTCTCTTAATTTTTGCTGAGTGGAAAGATGTGTGAGGTCTAGCGTTACCATGATGAAAAACCACACCCCATCTGTTGATTAATTCCGGCCGCTTTCTCTCCACTTCTTGCTTTAATCTCATCAGTTGTTTGCAGTCGAGTTCAGATCGATGGTCGTGCCTGGCGGTAACGGCTCATAATGAATAATGCCCTTCCAATCCCACCATAACCAGGTTCAAGGTACCATGAATAATAATGAATAATGCCCTTCCAATCCCACCATCTTGCAACAAGGTAATGCTGTGTGCATTAACTTGTTGCGAGATAACCCGGGTTTTGCCAGTCTGTGGAGCCTGACCAGCCTTTGACCACCTTTTTCGCACGTTCTTGGCATACGTGATCCACTTTTCATCACCAGTTATCATGTTTTTGAAAAATGATTCGGTTTCATTACGTCGTAATAAAGAATCACAAATGAGTACACGGTTCATTAGGTTGCTTTCAGTGAGCTCATGAGGCACCCAAATATCGAGCTCTTTTGTGTACCCAGCTTTTTTCAAATGCGCCAAAACTGTTATGTGGTCAATTCCCAGTTCTTCAGCTACATCGTAACTACTGATATGCCGATCTCGCTCTACTTTTTCAAAAATAGCATCCATTTTATTCGTAACCGGGCGCCCAGAGCGAGGTGCATCTTTGACATCGAAATTTCCTGATTGAAAACGCTTAAAACAAATTTGTGCTACTCTCACAGATACTGCACTAGGTCCATAAACAACACAAATTTTTTTCGCGGCTTGAGTAGTATTTTTACCTTTTGGTAGTAAAATTTTAAAATGTATGGAATATCTTCATTAGAATCACTCATTTTAATAGTAAGACAAACAAATGAAAATCACACATTTTCCTAATTTGAATTTGGAATTATCTTTTATAAAATTTAACTTATATATTATTAAAATACCAAAACCCGCCAGATACAAATGGTGTAGCCATATAGATTATATTATAAGTTCGTACATACTATTTGCCAAAAGAGTTTTTCCCCAACCTAATATATGTTAAAAAAGAGATTACTACAAATAAAACATTATATACATATATTGCGATACATATTTCAGACATAATATTGAGATGTATCTTAAGACTACTAATCTACTAATCACTAGGTTAAGATCTCATATTTTTAATAACTCATGTGAGTTAACGCGACGTCTCTAAACAATGTTGGCTAAAATCTTTTTATTCACTATTTTCGATATGCTCAAACAACACCTGCGTTGATCTTTCATTTTCGCATTTTTTTGATGACAGACACAGACCAAAAAATTCATTTTAGACCAGTAGACCTTTTACGATAGTAAACTGTTGATTATTTATCGCTTTACATCTACCGTAGTCGGATATTTTACTGCTTTTGATATTAAAAACAGGTAAAATATGTGTTTTTTGTGTGTTATGGAGTTTGTAGTATCACTGAGACAATTTAATCGATCATAGTAAAATAATATTTCATATCACTGCGTTACTAGATATTACTTATTTAAATAAAAGAAGTTATACAGGGTGGCTTTTCTAAGTGTATCCATTTTTTTTATTAAACTCTAGACATAAATAATGTTATATAAAAAATTATAAATATTTAAAATCACTCGTAAGTAATTAATTACATTCATTTGAACTTATCTCAAAGTACGTGATTTATACGCAACTCATTTATTTTACGCGCGATCATTCATAACTAACAGGCGCACAAGTTCGTGCACAGTAAAATTTAGGTATTTATGAATGACTATGAATATAGGGAATAGAATGGTTAGTTGTTTTTTATTTCAATAAACGATTATACTACCGAGTCTGGACCTCCTGTATAAATTTAGGCACTACTCAAAAAATCTCCCTGTATAATAAATTTACTTCACAAATTTTAATATAGTTGTTTGATGGTAACAAACTTTATACCTAGTTAGTATAAAAATATGCCTGTAGCTTTTTTATTATCTACCTATAGCTTTTTGGTTACTTGAATTTAATATTCTCACCCTTAGGTCACAATTAACGCTAAGGCTAGACGTTTCTAACTGGTACCTATATTAAAACTGTTCAGTGTTAATTTAATCCGGTAACAAATTTATAACAAACTTGTTACAAGCCTTATAATTTAAATTCTACGCGAGTCAAGTCCTCGCAATACTGTAACGATTGATATAAAAACGCTAAGAGTGTACACATGTAAGGAATAGCATTCGTATCGTAGGTTGCCTTCTAGCGACCGGATCCTGGAGTTTAATTTCAATGTCAGCTATGGCGGGAATCGGTCGTTCGTGGCTTTTGCTCGTGCTTATTTTAGCTTCGGTGAGTAATTTATTTATTAATAAACACAACATAGTGCGGAGATGCAGTTACTTATTCAGTTTAAACCTCGGGAATGAAATTACACATTATACATTAAAATGTGTGTGATGAATAATTAATAAATACATTTTCATTAGTTTATAAACATTGCTATTAATCATATTGTTTTATTTATAAAAATTTATTTTTCAAAAAAAAAAAAAAGATTAGGTAGGTACTTTAGCAAAAAGTGAATACCTAAGTATTATTCAAAATTAAAAGTCAAATTAGTTACAATCTTTTCATAATTGTGTTTGGCACATAATATGTACACATAGGTACATTATAATGTAAGACCGATAAGAATGTATATGTATATTCTTTATTTATGTTCTTATATCATACTAACGATTTTTTTAAATTACACTAAATTATTGTCAAACAATTTCCAGTGATTTTCGTAAATTTTAAACAAATTGTAAGTACTTACATAGATTAATCCGATCTTGACAATTGATTTTGGCCTAAATCTAGCCGCATCTCTTTTGTTACCGCCCGTAGTGGTCTAAATTACTAATGTATCTAATTGTAGTTTAAAACATCAATTTATTTAAGTTTTATATTAATTGATTCTTTAAGCGCGTTTGGAAAAAAAATTTAGAGTAAAATTTTCAATCAACTTCATGGCATTACCATATCAACCAATAACAACTTTTTGAATTTTATCAATAATTCCAAGTTTTCTAAATAAAATAAACCGTTATCAATTGCATTTCATTTTTATAAGCTAAAAAGTATAACTTTTGTAGTGCACACATAATTTTTTCATTGTCTATTATAATTAAAAAACTCTATGTATATACATTGCTCATTATTTATGTAAGAGTAATATTAAAAGCAAATATAAAGATTTTAAATATGTTTATGCCTACCACTGTTCTAGTTAAAGTATTTTTAATTGACTTGTTAGTTACATTGCTTGGTGTTTGTTACAATTCATACATTATTATAGTATTTTAAGTTTTCATACATACTGCTTTCCTTCATTGAGCGAGATGAACTAAAACGATAGTAAAGTGACTTAAATCTACTTCATCGCACTTAATTTGTTATTTTTTTATGTGAAAAAGAAAATATGTATTGATGTATTTATGTAGATAACTGTAATACTCATCGTACAAAAGCAATATTCATAAATAAATAGGAGAGCTTGAACACAAAATTAATGGCTTGGTTAAAACAAACTTTGCAGACCTGGCCAATGACCGAAACGACGCGAACGACCTTTGAATGTTAGCGACTAGCGTGCGAAAAACACCGCGAGTGTAAACAGTCATCCATGCCCCGCAGTTTCGTTGTGTTAGCGGACAATACTTGAGTACAGCTTACAACAATATTCGATAACAACAATGATTTATAATAATATGATATACGTCGTTTTAAGGTGTAATAAAAAAACCTTGAATTAAAAGAACAAAAACCGTCTGCTTATCAGTCATGTCTAAAAGAGCAATTGCAAGAGTATGACAATTCGATTGACATACGATTCATCAAAATCGGCTTGTTGCTTAGTCTCCATGCCGCCACAAGGGAACGAACATACATACTAGGTTAATAAACACATTGTCCTCCTTTGCCTTGCGTAGTTGGGTAAAAGAAATCTATTAATTTGTGATTTAATCATCTGTTGCATATTTTAAACGACCAGCGCTAAAAAGTTGTTATACTTTTTTTTGTTTTTTACCATGTGAAATATAATGCTGACATGTCAACCTTAGAAAAGCTTTGTATACGACAATATTTATGTATCGTCTTTATTTATAATTATATTTATTATTTATTATTATTATAATTATGATGAATATTTTTCGATACTTTACCTTTCACACTTTTATCACAATTCGTAATTTATGATACGTAAAAGTATTATTGAATCATGATTTTTTTAAGGTCATGTCTGGAGTGCTATGTGGCGAAGTACCTAATTTAAAGCTTAATAATGGTAAATTAATGCCAGCGATTGCTCTAGGAACATATTTGGGATTCGATAGGGTATGTCTGTTTTAATTTATATCCAATGATTTCAAACAATTAAGATACGCTAATAATATACATATAGGTTTCGGTAAAGTCGAACTGTGAAATATTAATCGAATCTTTTTTCTAGAACGGAATTGTTAAATCAGAGAATAAACTATTACGCGACGTTGTATTACGTGCCATCGATACTGGATACAGACACTTTGATACGGCATTTATCTATAGCAATGAAGATGAAATAGGTGAGGCTATAAGGATGAAGATTGACGAAGGTGCCGTTAACAGAAATGATATATTTGTTACGACAAAGGTGAAGTAAAGATCTCTTAGTTATTAATGTTTGGTAGTTTTTTTTTTTGAAAACATTCATCGCGATTTAACGTTTCGATTATTCAGCTTTGGAACACGCAGCACAAGAGGGATCAAGTTCCGCTGGCGTTGAAGCAATCCTTAGTTATAATGGGTCTTAATTACGTCGACTTATATCTGATGCATTGGCCGATCGCTTTAAACGTGAGTAGATCAGAATACATCTGTAATTTACCTATTCTGTAAGCGTAAACCGCATAATTTTAAAACTTGATGAGATTTCCCTGAATATCAAATGAGACTGAATAATCCGAGATATCTCGTTGTGTATTCATTTGACTTTACTTTTTAAGTTGCGAACAGGTATTGTGATGAATTTCTCGTTGAAATCTTTGTAGTTAAAAACTCCTATAAAATCACAATTGCCATCGGTGCACGTGTAATGAGATTTGAACTCGCGGCTTCGGCTTACACCTAAGTTTCTTTTTTATTGACGGTCCCCTGTTACTCTATGAATCATTTATGTTATGATAATTTATTTTATTTCTCTGTTATTTTATTTATGAACGAAAATATTAAGTGACCTGGTGGTTCATCTAATGTTAAGTGATAACCGTTGCCCATGGACATCTACAACATTCGAGGCATTACAGATGCGTTGCCATCTTTAATTTTTTTTTTTGTGAAAAGTTTCCAAACGGGCAGGCGGTTCGCCTGATGTTAAGTGAATACCGCCACCCATGGACATCTGCTACACCCGAGGGTTTGCAGATGCGTTGACAACCTTTTTGGAAATTGGGCTCCGGCTACCTCACTCACCAGACGAAACGCGAAAGTATTTGTTATACTTCCAATTTACGCCGGTCTTCTGTGAGGTCGTGGTACTTACCCGGACGAGCCTGCCCATTTGTGCAACAGCCGAGGCTGCTGCGTGGCTCTACCACCGATAAATCATCTTTAAAAAAAGTGGACCCCGGTTATCTCACACACAAGATGAAACGCAGAAGTATGATACTTCCAATTCAACCAGGTCTTTTGTGTCTGAGGTCGTTCGCGTTGCCAACATTCAAAAGTGGTTACCTCACCAGGATAAAACACGAAATTGCAATTATTTCACTTTTCTTCGGTGTTCTGGGAGGCCGCGGTTCATCCCCGGTCGGGCCTGCTCTGGAGCGCATCAGCGACTGTTGCGTGGCCTTATCACAGCGAAAATTAAAGTTTTTATATTTAATACGATTAAAAATATTTATAATTACTAAATGCATAATAAACTTTGCAGGAAAACTTCACTTTTTCTGATGTCGACTTTATGGAAACTTGGCGAGGGCTGGAGGATGTCCAGCGGTTGGGCCTAGCTAAGGCAATAGGTGTTTCAAATTTTAATTTGGAGCAATTGAAAAGAGTTTTAAAAGAAGGCAATATCAAGCCGGCCGCTATTCAAATTGAGGTAAACATACAAAATTCGCCAGTTAACATCACATAGGAAGTTATCGTACTCATTAGCACTCAATGAGTTACATCTTTACTGATAATAGTTCATTTACAATTACAATTAAATATTGTTTCGAGCGTTGGTACATTTGTAAAGCAATTTGACGTTTTCAACATGAATTTTTGAAAAAAAAAAAGGCAGTTTCTATAGACAATTTTTTAAAAACTAATTGCAGTTTTTTAAGCGAAGCACTATCATTAACAGATTCATCCGCAAATCATACAGTCTGAATTGATTCAGTATGCCAATTCTGAAGGTTTGGCAGTGATGGGATATAGTCCATTCGGCTCCCTTGTTAAAAGATACGGCTTTCAATTCCCGGGCCCAAGAATCGACGATCCGGTTCTTGTCGAAATTGCGAGGAAGTATAACAAAACAACACCACAAGTTGTATTAAGATGGCTGGTAAGAAATATAGTTTACATTTTCGACTCAGTGGTAACTTACATTATTTATTGTTTATTAAAAAATTCAAAATATCTTTATTCACATAGACGGTTGCGCGTTTTTATGAAATGTCATAATTTTAAACAAAAATTAATAAGTTCGTTAGTAAGTTTTGCATTTATCTTCATATTTATTGGGTGCTGACTAACACGTCTGTTTTACAGGTGGATAGAAAGGTCGTTCCAGTTCCAAAGACAACAAATTTCAACCGCCTTAAGGAAAACATTAATATTTTCGATTTTAAATTGGAGCAGCAAGAAATAGAGAAAATAAACCAATTTAACACCAATGTTCGATACACGTTTCCATCGTTTTGGCAAACGCACCCGTTTTACCCGTTCGAGAAGATTGATATTCCTCTGGCAGACCCTTTTAAAGCAGGAGCTTAATCATTTTATTTTTATGTTCAAAGGCAATCTTTTGCTAATCATTAAAAAAAACACGAGAGATTATAGTATAAATGTAAAAAAAACGGTTGTTGATTAACAAAAAAGCTAATTAATGCTAGAATTTCAATATTAACTTTACGTAAGTAATGTAATTATGATTAAAATGGAATCTTGGAAGAATAAAATACAATATTTGTACATATTTTTTTTTTTCTTTTCATAAAATGTTTTTTTTTTAAGTTGTAAAATCAATTAAGTAATTAATTAATAAACTAAAATAAATCTCAAGCCAATATTCGACTCACCAATCCCTTTAAGGTATGCTGCTGTATTGCTGTATGCAGTAAAAATAGGTTTTTCAAAAGATTTTTTAGCAAAATCTATAGATTTTACAGCAGCAAAAAAAAATATGTTAATCTTGATCTTACATTCTAATGGAACATTATTTTCAAAACATATTCTCGATATATTTTCTCGATAGAAAAATATCATGAAACTACCTCTAAGAGAAATTCAAATCCCAAACCCGTGGGTTCTGGCTAGCCCACCGGTTCTGCGTCAGATGAAGCTTTAATAGTCTCGGGACTGAAAGCAAAAACATCAGTTAATACAAGATACAAGAAGAAATTCAAATCCAAAAATGAACGTAATACATCAACAAATATTAATGAAATTAATATTAGTGGTGTAGAATATTTTAATAAAAAGGATTGTTGTCCTCATTTGTTGATTGAAGTAAGATATTTGTAAATATTAATTTAGTTGTTTCGGTTCTCTTCAGTCTTCCAATTCCACACGTTGAACAGAAAGCATTTCAGATATATAAAAGTACTCTTTGACAAAGAGCGTTGAGGCGCGTTGCTAGATGAACTATGCCACTCGTCTTCCGCTCACCGTTACGAAATATGGTCCTTATTTATTTATTATTGAGAGTTATAATTTATATTATATCTTTCGAAAACACGAAACCATAAAAATATATATTCACATGTTTCGTATTTTTAATTATTTGTATGTATTAACAATAACTTATCTTGTGATTGATAGGTTTATCAGTCCTATACATACAGTGTAAAGGACCATCATTCTATAGGGATTGGGTTCAAATCCCTACATTTCTTTGTTATATTTTTTAGTGATTCTCTTTTGTGTAAGTATTTTTTTATATACTATTTAATTTTATTGTTTTTTTTTATTTTTATAAATAATTACAATGAAATATTATTGTATTTGTTGAACGTAGAACGCAACAATTGGAGAACAATCTATGAGATAATAAACCAACTTTTCATTATTTAAAATTTTTAACAAGGCATGTTGTATATTGTTTTAAATTTTTTTTATTAAAATATTTAATTTTTCACCCTAAAACGGAAATTAATATTTTACGAACACGAAAAATAATTGTTTTATAATTTTTTCATTGTTTTTGTTTATTTTCCACATTTTATGAAATAAAAACAAAATAATTTATTGATTAACAAATTAAAATTGGAAAAAGATGTACCACTCGATAAGGTTTGAACTTGGAACCACAGTTATTATTCACCATTACGCTCGGCCCAATAGGATAGGCTACAAGATGTCTGTGGAAGGCGACAAAATTTCGATTCAACTGATAATTGTTGTCGTTTATCGATATAAGGAATTTTATCGATAATTTTTAAATATCATTTCATTGAGGAATTTGTATAACGTAGTAAGTCTTTAACAATTAAAGGATAAATTAAAGGTACACAGTTTAAGAAAATATGTAATGAAAACTCATATTCCTAATTTCTGCCGTGGAGACCATGAATTTGCTTAAATTTTTTATGAGCTATTACTTTAAATCAAAATGAATAACTATTCCTTTATTTATTGTTTTGTTGTAAGAAATGTCATTTGTCTTTATTAATTTATTTGACCTTAAGATTATTTTAAACCAATTAGTGGGTTAGGTCACGCGCTGCTCATTCATTACCTACTAGTGGTGGGCCTTAGGATACTATCATGGAAGGCTATCGAAAATGTACACAGATGAACCCTATATCTTTTATAGACCATGATTGTATTTTACTTTTATATTATTATAGGAATAATAATAAACAAACACATATAAAGATATGAGAAAGCAATCAAAAATTTTAGAAAATCTTCCTATGATTTATTTTAAATTATCAGAAGACTGACTAGAATACATCTTTAGGTCAAATAAATTAATAAAAGACAAATGACATTTCTTACAACAAAACATTAAATAAGGTCCGAAGGTCCACGGATCAAATACCGCAATTGTTAAGGATATTTTTCTTCATGTTTTTTTCCTGCAAGAAATTTTAAAATATTTCCAAATATTCTGTTCGAAAATAAACAAAAGTCCGGCTAAATTTTGACATTACTTTGAAGGCATACACATTTATAATACAAATAAGGATCCCCATTGACAATCGCTATCTACACGCCTTACTAGAAATTACAATGTGATTAATTAAGAACAAATCTTAAATTTACTCCTTTTGTTGGGCAAACAAAAATTGTACTGACATTTAGTGATTTGTAAGAAGCAAAACCATGTCACAACATAACAAATTTGACTGTTGCGTACGATCCTTTTTTTTTATCGTTGGGTACCCTCCGTAAATCCGTTATGGATACCTGGCCTCCCACATAGGGGAAGTTAGGTTATGTCGGACTCCCATCGACTAAAACCCCACGGTGGTCGCCATTAGCTTTTATGGGGGGTCACGGGATTGAAGGGTATAGGAATGCTCAGATGAGGGAAACCAACCTTTTATTAATATTATTTATTATTATTTTAAGATATCACTGACCGTTTTTTACTGTAGTACATTTTCTTGAGACCATAGTGTAACTTTTCTATCCACTGACAAAGAGAACAATTACTAGTGTTGTGCTGTGTGCACTTCTTAATAGCGATGTACCCACTAACACCTTCTCCTATTATTAAGATTGTTTACATCTTAAATAATACCTGTTATTCTATGCTATCAAAATTTTGTTGTTGTGCTTCTTAAGTTATATTCCTATATCATGAACTTATTTAGTTGACAATATTTTGGGCGTGAAAATTAAATTTATTATTCAACAATGGTTTTGTAAATATGTCTGCAGTCTGTTTATCAGTGGGACAATATTTAATATTAATTTTACCCTTTTTATAATTTTCATGAATAAAATAGTACCTCACATCAATGTGTTTGGATCTTTTATTGAATGAACCTGTTTTGATCAGCTGAATAGCGCTTTGGTTATCCACATTTAATATCATTTCAACTTCAGTTCCAATCAGCTCCTTTAAAAATGACTTTAAATAAAAGCATTCCTTACAGCAATCAGCTGCTGCAATATACTCTGCCTCGGTTGATGATAAGGCAACAATTGGTTGTTGTTTTGAACACCAAGACACAGGTCCTTCTGCCAACATTATCACAAATCCGGTTGTACTGCGTCTTGTCTTGGTACAATTGGCATAGTCTGCATCACAGTATGCATTTAATTTTGATATATCTCCTCCTTTCTTGTACATGATTCCTTTCTGTCTTGTTCCATTTAAATATTTTAGTATTTTCTTTGCAGCTATCACATCATCTTTCGTAGGGTTTTCTATTTTTCTGCTTGCTTCATTTACAGCTTGACTTATGTCTGGCCTTGTTCTTGTAGATACGTATAGAAGTCCTCCAATCAGTTCTCTATATGGGAAATTTGTAGTATCTGTGTTTTGCGTTTCTGTTTTCTTTTCTGTATTGCAAGGTGTATTAACAGGCTTAGAATCGTCCATACTAAATTTCTTCAATAAGTTTCCAATGTAGCTTTCTTGTTTCAGTGTTATACCTTTCTCAGTCTTCTTAACTTCTAATCCAATAAAAGTAGTAGGATCGTTGTATACTTTTATTTCAAATTCCTTTTCTAGGGAATTTAAGATGTTTTTTAATGTTTGCTTTTCTTTAGCCAAAGCAAGCCCATCATCTACATAGATTGCTATTATTGTTGTATTATCTTCATTTGTAAATACACACTGATCTGTTTTAGTAGCTTTTAAACCAAGTTTTAACATTGCTTTTGTAAATCTTTTGTTCCATGTAATAGGAGCTTGTTTTAACCCATATAAGGATTTCTTTAATCGACAAATTTTTCCAGGTTGTTTTTCATATCCATCCGGTATATTCATATACACATTTTCTTCCAGTTCTCCATATAAAAATGCAGTCTTAACATCGAATGTCATCATGTTATAGTCTTTAGAAGCAGCAAGTGCAAATAAAGATTTTAAAGTTGACTGACTGACAACTGGACTGTAAATTTCATTATAGTCAATACTGTTTTGTTCAAATCCTCGTACAACAAGTCTAGCTTTATAAGTGCCATTATCTTTCACACGGAATACCCATTTGTTTGAAAGTATTTTACTATCTTTTGCCTCTTTTTTGTTTACTATTTCCCAGGTATTATTGATTTCCAGGGATTCCTTCTCCGAATTTATAGCCTTCTCCCTGTTTTCTCCCTCTTTAGATGTTACAGCCTCCCTGTAAGTAAGTAAACTGTAGTCTCTTAGATGTATTGGTATGTGTTTCATTCTCTTGCTTCTTCTTAGGTAACCATGTTCTTCATTATGTCTGTTTCTTTCTCTTTCCGTGTCTTCTGATTCAGTTTCTGATACTACATCTTCAAAAGTCTCATCATTTTTATTTTCTTCTGTTCTGGTATCTTCTGTTGTCTCTTCCTGCTTTTCTATAATCTTTTCCTGGTTTTCTGTAGTCTCTTCCTGGTTTTCTGTTGTCTCTTCCTGGTTTTCTGTTGTCTCTTCCTGGTTTTCTGTTGTCTCTTTTTCATCATTTTCACTTTTATTATTATTTATTTTCTTATAATTTTCTTTCTGTTGTTCTGTTTCACTTTCTACTATCACTATGTCCCTTGATATCTCTATTTTTCTTTCCTTGTCATTCCACAGTCTGTACCCATTATTAGTGTATCCAATCATTATTAGTTTCTTGCTT